TTCTAGATATTGTTTTTTAAAAAAGAATTTACACAAGGATGGAAGCCAGAATATAGTGGATAAATACTCTCATGGTGCTCAGCAAAAATAATGTTATGATATATTTATTAATTCAAGGTCAGCCTGGAATTCTATAACCAATTAAGCTGCTTAATTAAGAATAACCACTTCTGTAAATAACTAGTTAGGATGATAGCGCCCCCCACTCCCCAAAATAGAAGAATGAAAACAAATGATATAGGAGTAAAGATGCTTTGATAAAAGAATAGTTTGTAAACAATTAATCCAAATAAAGATTAAACAACTGTGAGAATAATGACTGTGAGTAGACTGTAATATTTAAACTTTGAAAATATTAAAATATTCGCTTAAAAAATCCGTGAGAAGGTAGAGAAGTTGTACTATTTCCTCAGCTTTGCTAGCAGGGAATCATTCAAAAGCTGTCCTAAAATAAAAACATGGAGTAAAAAAACAGAAACATTCAACCACACACACAAAAACTATTCATTATTTCAACCTATGAAAGAGAAATACCAGAATACCTACAGAGTGAAAAGTAGCAGGAAGACCCTAAAAAAATCAATAAACATTCTAGGTTGCTCAAGATGCACCATTCAAAAGAAAATGCCAAACACTGTTGAGAAGTCCTGCATGGACGTCCCTCCCGCTCCCAGACCTTCTCCAAAGCCAGTTAAAGACTCTGAGCACTGAGTATCCTTTCAACCAACTATCTTTTCTAGATCAATGTGTGTCTCAGTCCACAGTGAGGCTCTGGAATCGTTATTCTATCTCACCCAGTACCACCAGACATCCCTCTTCTGGCCAAAAGCCCCCCGCTCCCCACACCCTGCCAGGCTACACACCTACAAGGCCATGACAGGCTCACCCCAGTACTGAGTCCTGTGGACACAGTGATTGGCCAAAGGCAGAAGTGTGACCCAAAGTGAGCTGCTCAGAATCCCTCCCTGGAATTACAAAGCACTGTGGCAGGACAAAGCTGGGATGCCACACTGAGAAAAATATTCCCAGAGCTAATGGTGGCCATCTTCCCACATCTTCTAGAGGACCGTCTAGATTTCGCAGGAGAAAAATGAGGAGAACAGAGAGAGAGGATAAGCAGAAAACAAGATATCCCAACAGAGAGAGTCCAGGCAGCAATGTGTCTCACTGCTAATATCTGAGGGCCCAGTTTCCAGATGCCTTTTAAAAAAATTCTTTAAGTGACTCTCAACCCCAGATCCTACCCACTTGTGAAAGAAAATATTCTCCATGTACAAGTTTTGTGGGTTTCTTTCACCTGGCAACAGAAACTGCCTAAGTAACCCATCCTGTTTCCCTGTCTCTTTTACTTTCTTCCTTCTCTTTCCCAAGACTCAGTCAATTATCCCCGGATCTCATTTCTCCTACACACATACATGGGCCTGGTTTTCTTAAGGGGGACATCTACCGTACCCACATTTAGCTTCAGTTTCCTTTAAGCAAGTTCATTCCCTTTAAAAACTAAAGACACTACAAAATGCAAAGACTCCCCTTGCCCTGGCAGGGCCCCCAAGCTCTCTGCCTCTAGGTCTCCCCTCAGAGAGCCCGTGGGCGTCTCCAGCACCCATCCATGTTTTCCTCCCTGCGCCCTGCTACGGGGGACTTTTTCCTGAGCTATCACACTGATAGTGCGAACCCAGACACCAATGATGACCTTTCATTTGCCAGATAAGAAGACTGTTCTGTTACAAAGAAATGTCCACTACTTAGAAATGGGTGAAAGAGATTACTGGGTGTCCCAGCAGAGAAATCTGCAGGTGTCTTCCAGAGCCTGGAGGTGGCAGAGGGAAAGATTATCCAATTCTACAACTATCTTTTTATCCAATTCTACAACAACTTCTACAACTAACTGTATTCTTCCGGCTGCCTTGTTTTTGACTATGCTATTTTACAACCCTGTAAAGGGTTAGATGATTGGAGAAAACAGACAGATAGCAAAGGAGATATTTCCTGATCGTGCACAGCAGATCAAAAGATTCCTTTTCCTTTTCGTAACCATGTAAATGAGATTTGTTGGAAAAAGAATTTAAATCTTTCCAATTCAGACTTGGACTAGTTTTATGATTTTACCTTGTCAAATAGCATACCTCTTCCAGTTTTTGCACACATCTGCCTTGGTCACCATTTCCATCCTTTAGAAATGAACCCAGCCTGACTTAAGGTCTGTAACACCTCCAAGTTCTGACCCAGAAGAGACGCTGGGTCTCTGCTCTCTGCTCCTCCTCCATTGATGGCACTCATTGCAGTAGCCACATGTCTTGAGCTCAACAGCCACATGTGGCCAGTGGCCATCATACTGGCCAGTGAAGGAGGAAAGGCCCCAGCAGGGAAGGGCCCTCAGGAACTGAGAAGCGAGCTCGACATGGGGTCACAGTGACAAAGCAAGAAGGTAACTTTCTGAGCTGCATCTCTATAGTCCTTCTTTAATAAGTGAATAATAAAATAAATACCTTCAATGACTTTCAGCTATTAGAGAATGAAACCCAAATTCATTATGAAGACTCATAGGGCCTAAAGTTCGGGCCTTTTCTCCCTTTTCCAGGGTAATCTTCGTCTAATCCACCTTCTCCGTGGGGGGGTAAAATGATACAGCAGATAATAATAAAATTGTGAAGGATTTTTACTCTCTTCACCTCCCACCCACAGCCACTCACAATCTGGCAAGTCTGGGACTGGGAAAATCCCTTAGCTTGGCGACAAACAACAGAGAGAAACAGAAAGTGAAGTTGTCAGGAAGCTTGGGGACCTCTGCGTGAACAGGGAAGGGTTGCTCTTGGGGTCAGAAGGAATGTTTATAGGGTCATTAGACAAATGTGAAAACATCTGATTCTATATAGGTGATGCTAGGGGAGGAAAAATTTAGAGACAAACTAAGACACACAATTAGCCATTCGTAGGAAGGAGATGTTGTCATGTCATTAAATTTGAGTTTTAGCCTTTTTTCAAAGAATTGCATTGAACACTCAGAATGCATAATCTGTATGTATACCCAGAAATGTGAAATATCAAAAACCTGTAAGTATGCAGCCACTCAGTTCCAATTTACTGAAATCATAATTCATCTGCAAATTGTACTGTAAGAACTCTTTGGTAAAATGTGAACATTTCCCGTAAAGTGTCTATTTTAGAAATGGCTCTTCTGGGCCAAAGTAAATTTATCAGTTCCTGTTTAATAAATAAGCAAGTGGAATGTTTTCAGAAAGTGATATAATTAAACATGAGTGATTTCTCTTTCCATGTTCATACTCCTTCAAGATAAAACGATACATAAGATATAATAAAATATATTGCTTATCAGATTGTGACAATGTAGATACTTTTGCCTCAAAATGCATTTAAGAGGCTGACCTTTCTGCATATATATGTATATATGTACATATGTATTGTATGTATATACACATATGTTATGCATGTATGTAACATTAAATATATATATATAATTTATCAAACAATAATTTTGGATCCAGGAAGGCTAAAGGAAATTTTCTAGTAAATGAAAGATTAAAAAGATTAAAAGAAATTCTCTAGCAAATAAATATTGCCAGGTTATCTGCTTGATATGGAGGGTAAGAAATTTTGGTTTCCAAGAACAATAAGACAAATTCCTCTAAATGCTTTTAAAACTCAAATAAGTCAGATACCCTAGAATAAATAATTGTCTAAGAAGTGAGGATGAAATGCCAGGGTATTTTTAAATTGAATTAATAAGGAAGACACATCCTGTACATTAACATCAAGGAAACTAGGAAAGACTAAGCAAAGAATGAAGATCTCCATGAATGGAGAAGGCCTGATTTTCAGAATATAAAGTTTATTTATTTATTCATTCATTCATTCATTTTAACTGTCTTTCCTTTTCTATTTATTCTAAAAAATTTTTAATTTATATATATTTTACATCATTGTTCATTTTTAAACAATGCTTACTTACCCCCCCACCCAGGTGTAGTCCCCATAGAATTTCCTTCACCAATGCACCCGTGCACTATCACCTCAGTCCTCTGTGCGCCTTCCTCCCGCCTCCTCCCCTGCAGGATGTCTTTGGTTTATAACTGTCTGTTTGATTTTGTTCTGTTTTGTATTGTTATTTTTTTTCCCCTGATGTCTTTTTTGGTTCCCCTCTACAGAATATAAAGTTTAAAAAGCAACATGCAGAGTAGTGTTTACAGTAAGTTATTTTCTTTACAAGGAAAAGGAGGATCCAGTTAGAAACCATAAAAAAATGTTTATCAATAGTGAGATTTCTGAGGCTAGCTTTTCATAGATTTTCAATGTTTTAACCATATAAATGCTTTATATTTCCAAATGAAAAAAATCTATAAGAGAGGCTCAAATTAATGTAGTACAAACAGAAATAACTGAGTTCAAATATATCAAACTGGTAACATAAATAAACTTACTTCTAGCCACTTTTAAATATAACACATTGACTGCACAGCCAGACTCTGAAATAAAATCTAAAGCTAAAAGCGTCAAGACATCTGAGGCTTTATTCAGGATGACATAGTTGCTGCTGTAGATCATATTTTTAAAAACATCCAGGCATGGTACAGAGGACAGCAAGTATATATAGTAATAGCATGCATGGTAAATCACTAGGAACCAAGATTTTTACTGCAAGAGATAAAAAAATATATAAAAACATAAGTTAAAAATAAATGCATGGGGGCCTCCCTGGTGGTACAGGGGTTAAAGACAGCACTATCAGAGACCACTAACCCTGCATCATGACTTTGATCCCTGGCCACATGGCACAGCAGACCTCTCCTGTCTCACCTGCTGCTCCCCTCAGCAGTATATTTCAGTAGATCCACCTGTTCTGCTCCCCACTCTGTCTCTGGTGAATCCTCTCAGCCCCCCACCTCTGGCTTACACTCCAGTTCTTGTATGCATAAATAAATAAATCTTTAAAAAATAAATGCATGGATGCACCAGGAACCCGACAGAGGGGAGGGGCCTACCTCCTGGCAGTACTGCAGGATGCCCTCCTTAGTGCCGATGCAGGTCTTGGTCCCAGACGGATCTGACTCCCATTTTCCATTCTGCACATTCATGTGCATGTTCAGTTTGCCGCAGAACATGGCGACCTGGGGCTCGGCGAGCAGGCCGGCATTGCCGTCGGTGGGCACCTGCAAAAGCAAGGTCAGATATAGGAACCTGTAGCTCTGGAGCATAGGTCAGGGGAGGGCCGGAAAGGAGGCATCAGACAATGAGATCAAAAAGAATGATTCTTGCTAATTCTCAATTGTGAGGGAGCCCTGCCTCCAGCGTTGCTCTGGTAGGTATTATTCAGGGCACCTCGATCTCCGACCCATGCCTCCATTTCTTTACACATCGAAATAGAAGAAAATATTAGCAATAGTGAGAGGAATTCATTGAGGTAAGAGTTTACACATTTTCTCGTAGCAGATTTTACAGTACCTACTAAAAGCTTCTGGCAATAAAATACGATGTTTTTCTGATATATATGTAACCCCCTGGAGGAAAGCACATCCTCAAAATAACCTCCACTGACTCACACAAAGAATGAGGCCAAGTCTGGCGATGGCCAGGTCTGAGCGTGTGGCTTGCCCGGGGTCACCTCCCAGGGCTGAGGGCCCCTAGGTAGCATGCATTGTTAGTTACCGAGGAACACTGTCATTTTCTGAACAGAAAAATTCACTGCAGAACTTGCCATCAACAGTGTAGGTGAACGTATTGCCTGCTTGTAGGGGAAATGAAGATGCTCAGGCTTTTGCACCGTTGGCCTCTGTGGCTCTCACCTGCGGCATGAATGCAGGAGGCGATTGGGACTGTGGGCTTGGGGCATGCATGCCTGATGGTGGACATCTCGAGTGTGGTGTGGACATACATGTATTTTAAGTGGGCGCACCTGAGCATGGAGGCTGAAGCTAGAAGAGCAGCGTCACACAGACCAGTGTGTGGCAAAGGACGGCTATGACAGGACGAGTTAGTACAGAGAGGCAGGACCACCAGATGACACCAGAGAGCCCCAAAAGTAATGATTCGCCCGGGGCTGGGAGGCCTGCCAGCCTCCTGGCTCCCCGGCCTCCTGCCTTGCCAGTCTGTGGGCTTGACTCACTACAAATGGCATAGGGAAATCATTAAAAACCTGAAAAAGTTATGCAGGTTTCCAGGACTCTCCTTTACCTGTCTCCCAAATCGATAGAAAACCTGCCCTGTGCCTTGCTGCGCACCACTGCTAACCTGTTTTTGCCAGAACATTCTCTGGTTATCTCTCTCAGCACTTAAGAGTAGCTGAGGGATGCTGGTGACCCACTTTCCCCACCTTACTTCAAGGAGCCGAGAAGGTCTCATTCAGAGCCCAGCGAGCTCTTAGCTATTACCAGTGCAGGCAATAGATCATTTCACGAAAATAACTCTAAAAAGGGGACCTTCTTTACTTTCAAACCCTTCTGCACACAGGAATGACTTCCTAGCAACATTTTCAAGAGGGAAAATGGAAGTTCTGGGATAGGTGCCCTTAACAGATCCTGATACCTCAAAAAGAAAAAGTCAGCTGGAGATGAAAAAGAAACCCATGAATGTTAAAAGTGTCATTCAAAACCAAAGAATCAAAAGACACATCAAGCAAGATAATTCTTCCCTTGTCAAGCCGCGCTGCTGAGGAAAGGCCTGTTCTCCAGCCACCAAGAGTTCATCATGACGCAGCAATGATGGTACCAAGAATTGGGTGATTCTAGAGTAACTGATACCCCTGAAAACTGCTCGTGTGAGAATAAACAAAATGCCCAGTAACACTGTCTAGAGAGATTTCAGCTAAAGGAACAATCTCCTCACATTTCTTCCCACAAGAATGGAACATCAGCTCAAACATCTGCCCATTCTAGTCATCTTCCTATATTTCTTGTCCAACTGAGAATTTATAGCCTTAAAAGAAAAAAAAGAGAGAAAATCTCACATTGAACCCTACTGAGTCCTATCACAGATTTGAGTACAAAAGCTGTTGGTAAAATCTCTAAAAATATGTTTTAGGTACATTTTCTACCTTTCTAGTTCTAATTTGTAAGGTGCTTTAAGAAGTTTGCCCTACATTGCCAGATGTAACACCAGCAGCCAGGCCAGTTGACTACACAGTTATTTTAATGCCATCTGTTTGCACAAATGTATATGTCAAAGACCAAACAGTTTATCTTTTTCACATCTCTTCATATGAATTGAAGACGGCCTTCTGGAAAATATCTTAAGTTGCCTATAATCTCTTCACTTTAACAATAGGAGTTTATGGGCTTCCTGGTGGCACAGGGGTTAAAGTCTCAGTGCTATCAAGCTATCACAGCCACTGTGGCATGAGTTCAATTCCTGGCCAAGGAGCTGACCCACATGGTGAAGCAGAACACTCCTGTCTCGCACACTGCTCCCCTCAGCAGTGTATTTCAGTAGATCCGCCTGTTCTGCTCCCCACTCTGTCTCTGGTGAGTCCTCTTACCTCCCGTATCTTTGGCCTACATCCCATTCCTGTATGCATAAATAAAAAAAAAAATCCTTAAAAAAAAAATAGGATTTTAAACAACCCTTAAAAAAAAAAAAAAAACCACAGGCTTCAGTAGCTTCTGAGTTATCCAGCAGATGAGAGCTAATATTAAAAAATATTTATATAGGGCCTCCCCGGTGGCGCAGTGGTTGAGCGCTGGGTTGCGAAGCTGCCGGCGACCTCTGCGGCGCTGGTTCGATCCCCGGCTGCTCCCCGGCCACCAGAGGAGGGTCCCACATGGCGCGCAGACCTCTCCTGCCGCCCGCTGCTCCCCTCAGCAGTGTACTTCGGTCCTTCTGCCTGCTCTGCTCCCCGCTCTGGCTCTGGTGAATTCTCTCACCCTCCCACACTTCTGACTGTACCCAGTGCATGTATAAACAAAACAAACAAACAAAAACAAAACAAATAAATAAATAAAACATGCCTCTATTAAAAAAAAATATTTATATACTTATAAGAAAGTGAAAATCAGAATCAACAAAAAACTATGAAACAGAGACACTTTTTGGGGGGTGGGGGGCGGGAGGGGAGGGATTGGGATCAGAATGGGGGGGTTGCAATTGTATGGGGAATATAAAAATAAAATTTATTAATAAAAAAATAAAAAATAAATATTTATATACTTAATCATTAACAGGCCCTGTTCTCTCAAATTTGATTCCTCAACAATCAGGACAAATTACTACACCAAAAATTATAAAATTGGCTGTATATATCTATAACATTTGACATAACAACAGCCTCTTCACAAATACTTAAATCACAAAAACATGCTTCTTGGACAAAATCATTTTCCAAAGCAACACCAGGTGTGTACAAGGCGATCAGAGCAATTAGTTGGGAGATACAAATTGAACCAGAAGTTTTTCTATTCTTATTGAAGCCCACCTGTGAAGAATTCCACGTTTTAAATAACCTATCCCTGGCTCAGTTAATTAAAACAAGACAAACAACCCAGAAGAGCCTCACCTGCATCAAATAACCCATTTAAGAGACAAAGCCTGGTTGCTAAGAACAGCCCACACTGATGTTCAGTCAGTAGAAAAATCACTGCCAGCCACTTTCCAGCCAATTTGCTCTGGAAAGTCCATTTTCACTTCGGTACATCCCCACAAGGTGGTCGCACAGGAGAGAATACTTCATCCAGGGCCCACAGGTTTGCTCAAATCCCTTTTTCTGAATGAAGTCTCAAGGAAACAGCTAGTAAGTCACACACAGGGCCCTGTTCAGAGCCTATTAATAGGGACACTCTTAAAACTGAAATCTTTAGGCCCAAGTGTAAGTTATTTGCTGCCAGTAAAAATGTCTACTTTGTCAAAATGATTCTAAAAGTACTTATTCCTAACTTTCAGGAGACCTTTCTCAGTGAGCGTCCACCACGGTGTACCGTGGCCAGGGCCAGGGATCACCCATCAGGCCCACACATCAGGTATTTGCAAAATACATCTCGGTCAGGCTGGATGGGCAAGGAAACATGGGACAGCTGGCTTTGATGAGTAGATGAACCTCGTATTAGAGGACACCTGTAAGGTCAGGAATGGGCCACAGTGCGGGTTTTCTATAATCCAGCAGACGGGGTAAAGGAGGAGAGAGTCCTGGAGCCCTCAGTGTCTTTTGCAGGCTTTCATTGGGATTTACCGGGTACATGGCAGGCAGGGGTGCTGGGGGGCCGGGAGGCTGGCAGGCCTCCCAGCCCCCAGCAGGTCTTCACTCTGGGCTCGCCGGCCTTCTCTCATGTTCTCTCTGCTTCTCTCTCAGCTTCTGCTCGTTCTTGGCTTTTGCTGGGGTCCCCATGACGCCGCCCTTATAAACTGTCTCTCAGCCCAGGTGCACCCACCCCAGGTACCCGCCATCAGGCATGCATTCAGGACCACAGGGTTCCCTCATCTATCCTAATAGTGGGAGGGCAGAAAAGCCTGATACTTTTTACCTTACCCTACAACACCAAAGCGAATAAATCTAAAACAATGCGTAGGATAAATGGGAGTGATCAGTTTTTTCCACCCTCCCGTATTAGCATTGATGATGAATGCTGTGGTCTTACACACGTGCCTGATGGCAGCACCTGGAGCATGGTGTGGGCGCGGGTAAGTGGGCACACCTGAGCCTGGAGGCTGAGGGTGTAAGGGTGGCGATGCAGAGAAGAGAGTTCATGGCAGAAGTCACGTAGGGGAAGAGGACCATGCATCAGAGTGCAGAAGAGACGAGGTGAGAACTCGAATGCCAGAGAGCCCAGGAAGAGTAAAAACTAGCCAGGGGCTAGCAGGCCTGCCAAGCTCCTGACCCCCAGCCTCCCTGCCTGCCCTGCGCCTGGTTGCCACACTACAAATGGTGTAGAGAGATCATTAAAAGCCAGAAAAAGCCAATGAGGCTCCAGGACTCCTCCTATACCCATCCGCCCACATCCACAGAGAAACTGCTCTGTGCCTTGCTGGCGCAACACAATGTCAAGAAAACAACTGGTTGGAACGGTCTAGCAGGAGGTAATATTACTTTGCACCAAAGTATCCCCAACTAGAAATGAAGAAGTGAGGACCTGTTGTGAAGACAAGCCAGTTCATTTATTCCAGGTATTCTTTGTGGGAATATAGTTTGAAAACACCTATTTATATTGTTCGGCTTACCCTGGTGTTA